GCTTCAAATTCCCATAGAACAAAATGAACTGTAGTTGTGTAGTTCAGCCTAGGTGCCTGTGTTTACAACTTTTCTGTATGTGCCCTGAATTGATAGAGTAGGATATTTTTGTAACTTCCAATTCTTCTGCCCACCTCGTGGATCCAAAGCCCTGTCTTACTCTTCTATGATGAGATTGTTTTGACTCCTCTGCCAGTTACCAAGAGCAGTTTCTACTGTTTGTCAGGCATCTTACTGTGCTACAAAGAAGGATGTTCTATCCTACATTGACACTGATTCTTCCTAATTCCTACTAGTTTAGAATTTCTTCTAATGTTTTCAGTTCTGATTATTAGACCCATTTTTCTCTCTACAATCTCACTGTGACAATTCAATTTAATTATATGTTTCTTCAAAGATTTCTGTAAAATTCATGGCAAGATATGCGTTATCAATCCCCTAGGTGGTATTTAGTAAACAAGACATGATAGTTCAATTTTTTGAGGGTACTGTTTAATTTTAGTTTTTTTTCCCTCCCACAGAAGGCATAGTGACACAGAGCTAAATCAGAAAAGGCTAAGTAGCAATGTTGGAAAGTCAAAGCTTAATCACATAGGACTACTATAACTCGTACCCTGAAAGAAGCCACACTGAGATTCCAGGGACAGTCTTAGGTTAGACATTTCCTGGCTCTTGTTCTGCTGGCTGATACAGATTTTGTCTCTTGGTCTTGTTGCTGGGAGGGCAAAGAAAACCACCCTAGGACTGTAAGCAAGCAGCATCCTTGACACCTACTGTCTGCAGCCCAAAGTCACACACAGACAGGGAAAGTGGATCCACTTTGACCAGTTCACTTGTGCAACACTGTCAGAGGCAAGTGTGGTCTGAACATGTCCATGAGGATGAGATCATGAGACGGTTGGGACCTTCAGCATGACTGTATTGCAAACAGGTTTTTTTTCAACTAAATTCTCATAATTTTGACTTGATTTGGAATGGTTTTGAGAGGGATGACAAATGCTCTCTTCCCAGGAAAATGCCTCTTGACATATTAGAAGCCTTTGTGGATACAAATCTTTGAAAATGCTTCTGCCTTTATTTCTAGTAATCTTCTACCTTCAGTTTTAGAAATGGATCAGATGGTTTTGGTGTGGGTCTATGTTTACAGTTTAAGTTCTTAAAGATGAAATAATAACTTGTCAAAACATTTTGATACTGCAAATGTAAGCCCAGATTATAGTATTCCTTAATGCGGGTTTCAGTAAGTTCTAAATGCCACTTTATTACTCTAGTGCTAGCAGACCCATCTTTTAAAGTGAGAATAAACAAGGTCTGAACAGATAATAGAAGATAGTTTTTGCGCTAGAGGAATTACAATTAAAACATAACTCGGTGTAGGTGGATGAGAAGTAGTTAAAGATAGCAAGCTCACAGAAGGCTCAGATCTTGCCTACAGAGGACGGGTATTGTTTTAATGATAAATGCATGGCAGTGTTTATTGAGAGTGTGAGGAGTAACATGAAATAAGACAAAAAAGGTGCTTTGAAGATAATACGTGGCAGTCGAGTCTGGCAGTAGTGATTGACTGGCCATAAGGTCTGATATTTCAGTAATGAATGGAAGGTGATATGTGAAGAATCCTGAGAATGCAAACACATTCAAGTGTTTCACAAGTGAAAGAGTTGACATGGAAATCTGTTTCACTAAAAATCCCTCATGAGCTGGGACAGAACTAAATAGACTGATACAATATCTAAAATGCCTTTCTAAGATGGTCTCAGAGGGTTTCACTGTTGAGGTCCTACCTTATCTCCAAGGTGACTCATCACCAGGAGAAGGTGTTTTATTAATGCTCATCCTCCCTTGCTACAGTTTAAGTCCATTCACTGTTCTCATGTATACCCCCAACACAGAAACAACGTGGTTCTCCTGGATTGTGTTAAACTTCCAATCTGGCAATTCTTTTCATCTTAACTGCTGTTAGTTTCCCAGTCTGCAGACTATTTCTGTGTATTGGATTATTTCTGATTGAATATAGAACTTTGTATTTGCTGGGCAGTAAATTGTGATCACTGGTCATATTTTGCTATATTAAGTGTAGCTCACACATGAAAAATGTTTTTGTTACTCTCTTGTTGTAGAGTAAATCCATTGATTTGTGAGACCCTGTTAAGTATTCGTTACATCAGTGTTTAATATTCAGACACTTTCTAATGGTTGTGCACATGTAAAAGGAAGCAACACTTTCATGAAAGTCCTTGGAATAGATTGGAATCTTTCCATTGATTAAGAATGTCAGTCTGATTTTTTGCTCATGCCCTAAATGAAATGCTTCTTCAGTACTGTGTTGTTTCCTTTATTTTTGTTCAATACTTAACATGGACAAGAGTTAGGGATGATATTTTTCCTTTTAAGGTTTCACATGCATGTTGGGAAAATGGCCTTCTGTTTATACACTTTTTTTGTTATTTCAGCTTTAAAAAAAAAAAAAACAAAAAACAAAAAACAACTGAATCTCTGTTTGGGAGTTCATTTGAACTTAAGGCTTCAGCTAGAGATCTGTGAAATAAATGATGTGAAATATCTTAAAGTCGGCTGACCGTGCCACCCTGATGTCCTCTCATCTTGGAAGCTATGCCAGGTCAAGCTAGGTTAGTACTTCATCTCCATCAAAAGAGGGGTGGCAGGAGGGTGAGGGTGGGACTTGTCCTCCTCTGCTCTGCCCTTGCGAGGCCCCATGTGGAGTACTGTGTCCAGCCCTGGGGCCCCCAGTACAGGAAGGATGCGGAGCTGTTGGAGTGGGTTCAAAAAAAGGCTACGAAGAGGATCAGAGGGCTGGAACACTTCTGCTATAAAGAAAGGCTGAGGGAGTAGGGCTTGTTTAGCTTGGAAAAGTAAGGGGTTTGGGGAGACCTCATTGTGGCTTTCCAGCACAGGGGAAGGGGAGCAACATTTTACATGGTCTGTTAGTGTTAGGATAAGGGCAAATGGCTTTAAGATAAAAGAGGGGAGATTTAAGTTAAATGTTAGGAAGAAATTTAGATGGAGCCCTGGGCAGTGTGATCTAGTGGGTGGCAGCCCTGCCCATGGAGGTTGGAACTGGATGGTCCCTTCCAACCCAAGCCATTCTGTGATCTATGATTATATGGAATTAAGTTCAGATGACATTAAGCTGAGTGACGCAGTCGATACATTGGAAAGAAGGGAAGCCATTTAGAGAGAACTGGGCAGGCTGGGCCATGAAAACCTAATGAGGCTCAATAAAGTGAAGTACAGGGTGCTGCACTTGGTTTGGGGCAATCCCAGATATCTATACAAACCAGGGGGAAAATCTCCTTGAGAGCAGCCATGTATAGAAGGATTTGGGGGTCCTGGCAAGTGAGAAGCTGGACATGAGCCAGCCATGCGCAAGGCCAACTGTGTTCTGAGCTGCATTAAGAAAGGGGTGGCCAGCAGGAAGAGGGAGGCAATTGTTCCCCTCTACTCAGCTCCTGTGAGGCCCCATCTGCAGCACTACATCCAGGCTTGGGGCCCACAGTACAGGAGGGATGTGGAGCTCTTGGAGCAGGTCCAGAGGAGGGCCACTGAGATGATCAGAGGGCTGGAGCACCTCTCCTAGGAGAAAAGATTGAGGGAACTGGGCTTGTCTAGCATGGAGAAGAGAAGGCTCATAGTAGCCTTCCAGTACTTGAAAGGAGCATATAGACAGGAGGGGGGAATGGCTGAGACAGGGGAGGTTTAGGTTAGACATTAGGAGGAATTTTTTCACACAGAGGATGGTGACACACTGGAGCAGGTTGCCGAAGGAGGTTGTGGATGCCCCATCCCTGGAGGCATTCAAAGTCAGGCTGGATGTGGCTCTGGGCAGTCTGGTCTGGTGGTTAGCGACCCTGAACATAGCAGGGGGATTGAAACTTGATGATCATTGTGGTTCTTTTCAACCTGGGCCATTCTATGATCCTGTGACTCACCAGACTTCAAATACTGTAGTTATTACTAATATCTAACTGAAATTTGTTTGGAAAAAAAAAGCCTGTCACAGAAGGAGAAAAGTGACTGGAGTTATGAATAATTCGCCTAATCCACCCTTGGCTCTTAATGCATCATTGCAGGAAGACAAACTTTTAACTCACCAAAAAAGATTTCAACATTCAAACTCAGAAAGTTTGAAGAAATCATTAAAAATATGCACTAATCTTTTTGGAATGTTGAATGGGTAGATTTCTATAATAAGAGATTAATTCCATATTCAAAGCAGAAATGCCATTACAGCAAGAGGCTAAACAGAACTTACACTAACATAAGTAAAATATTAGAGATAGTGCTTATGTGCCCCTTTCTGCACTCGGTGTCCTTCTAGCTGAATTAACTTTCCTACTGAAACATCCCCTTTCTTTCTCTTCCAATGTCTGCACATGCAAATATTTTTACAATTATGGGAACACATATCTTTGTTGCATCAACTTGTTCTACTGTTGTGCCTGTGATGGAAAAATTTCCTTCCCTGTTTCCTGCTGGGTATGTTATTGTTATATCGTTACTACTGCTACAAATAGAGTTAACATTATAGTAGTAGAAAGGATTTTTAATAGTGGAAATATACATTTCCTTCTGTCCAAAGGAATAAGGAAAGAGACAAGAGATAAAACAATGCAAAAAATGAACAAGGTTATGGTGAAGTGGGATATTGCAGTTATTGTTTTTGATTCATAAAAATATAAGTATGAACTTAAGGATTTGCCTTAGATGGAAAAATATTTCAAAATCATAGTGTCAGTGGTCATCACTGATTTCATATATGGAAAAGAAAAAGAATCCTTGCCTACTTGAAGAGTGGTTGCATAACATTTTACTGAATAAAAAAAAAATCAAATTTTCAGGATGATACTGGATTTTTATTACAATTCATGTACATTTCCTTTGTGGTACATTTTACATACAATATTTATGCAACAAATACACTTTAAATGAACAGTTCTTCAAATTTTCTATGTGCTACACTGAAAACACAACCCATTTAAAATACTGAATCTGTTTTGCCATTCCTAAAATGCAGCTATGAGCTGAAAGTTAAGCTCATATTTGCTCTGTAATATGTTATAATTCTTTGCATAGTGTTCCTGGTGATATTATATTTGTTACCATAGATACAGTATAATAAATATTCAATCAGTTTATACCATACTTTAGAGAAACCAGACTTCTGATACTTTGTCAAATAACTTCTCTTTCCAAGCACTGATAATTGATGAGACAAGTTAGATCATTTGGTATAAAATTCTGGTGTTGCATGTTATATGTTTGGATGGTAACACAGAAAAGGAAAAGCAAACCCAGGGACAAATAAGCAGCGAAGTGATGTAACTTAATAAATAATTAACTTAGTCTGAGAATGCTAGAACAGTGTGATTCCTGTTCATTTTTAATGCAATTAAAAATAAATTGTAATATCAAAATTAAGATGGAACCGAGAATCATGAAGTTGAACTAGTCTTGACTGGAAACAACTTGAAATATGAAGACTTTTCTTGGAATGATACCTGGTTCAAAAAATACCCACAGCAGAAAAACTGTGAAAAAACTTTTAAAGCTTTTTGCCTGAAATATTTCCCAGCAAATACATAAACTATTGGGTTAATACAGCTGTGTGTGAGAGCCAAAGTAGAACTAAACTGCTCACCAAAGTTGAGAAAATCCTCCCAGAAACAGCCTTGTATCACTTCCATCTGGAATAATATATCAAAGAATATAACAAGATGGTAAGGAGTCCAGCACAAAAGAAACATCAGTACCACTAAGAAGATCAACTTTGTGGCCTTTGTGTCTCTGTGGTCCTGGCAACTCTTTGTCCTGAACGCTTTTAGTTCTCTTTTGTGTTCTTGTAGGGAGCGAATGGTACAGAAATTGAGGAAGACGATAGCTGTTGATGGCAATGCAAACCCCACTATGCTGAATACCAAACGATCAGCTTTTTGCCAGGATGAGGTGGGGAAGTCTAAAACACATGCAGAGATATTCCACTCAGGAAAGTGTTTCACAGTCCGAAACGTAAAGGTTGGGATACTGAGAAGGATCCCAAAGGTCCAGGTGAGCAAACAGATCCCTTTGGCTATAGTTTTGCTACGTATTCTTCTGTGTGTCAAGGTATGAACAAAAGTCAAATAGCGATCCAAGCTGACCGCTACTAGCAAGTAGATGCTAGTGTACATGTTTAGGTGGATGGATGCACTGGCACTACGACAAAGAAAATTTCCAAATGGCCAATTATACTTATTCCGTATATTCTCTCCCCAGAAAGGGAGACAAATGAGGAAAATAAGATCAGCAACAGCTAGGTTCACAAGGTAGATTTCAGATATCTTCAGAGGGCCCTTGTACAGTGAGTAAACGAAGAGAACAAATAAATTTCCAAGCATTCCAATAACACAGATGGTGTTGATACACTTGGGTACTAAGTAGTACACTATTTCCCACCAGTTATCCAAGTCTGGGCAAACAGTTGAGTTGCTCTTGTTTTCACTCTGGTTTGAGAAGGGAATGCTCAGTAGAGGACTTTCAGTCATTTTTTTAGGATTCTGTAATTAACAGGAGACATTTTTGAAGTAAGAGAAAAGAACTGCAAAATGGAGGCATAAAGTTCTAAATGTTATCTCTTATCAGTGGTGTAAAAAACACCTTTTTTCAAATTTCTTCAGCACTGACTTGTATGAATTAGAACTCCAGATTCCTTGTTGACAGAAAATGCGATTCATTCGCAGTTGCTTAATTTATTTCTCTTTCAAAGGTAATTTTCTTCTGTAAATACTGTATTTAGTGCTAATGGACAATTAGCCAAAATAATGATTTTCAGTTATGTCCTTAATACATTTCAAGTATTCCAACTTTCACGAAAATGACTTTTTTTTTTTTTTTTTTCCTGCATTTAACTAATTTCTGATTATTTTCTGTGTTTATTGACTCTGTAGCCAATATACAGAAGATCAGATTTCTGGAAACACTAAATAAATCTTCTGGATCTTCTGAAACACTAAATAAATACAGCTTGAGTTTTGGGAACAATTAAAAAAAATATTATTTTTAAAGAGAAAATTCTGCAATCAGATAAGTCTATTCAGCTATACAGAAAATTCATAAAATGAATCACTGTATTTTTACAGATTAGAAGAGTTAATTCTGACTTTCAGAGTTAGCAGTGAAAGAGAACATCTTACTATATGTGCACACATTGGAACTGAGAGCACAAGATACTTGTTTATATAAAAGCATCTGAAATACTTTTAATATACCTAAGACATTAAAAACAGATAGACCTACCTTATTCTCTTTCTTCGTGGCAGTTTAGGTGAAAAAAGTTTCAAATCCAGGAAGAACTGACAAACAGCAGTACAACAGTGATTAGGGAGAGAATTCAGACTCATCGGTGAGTGAGACTGAGTGCTGTCTGAGTCTTTTGTTAGCCATGTGCATTATGTATGATGTTACCATTTGGAAGAAAGCCATTACTTTTTTTTTTTTTTTAAGCTTTCCAAACGTCAGCTGTGGTGATTTTCAAGGCATGTGAGACATTTCATTCTCGTTGTGAAATTCTTGAAAAAGTCAAGCTATATGCCTTGACTTTTGCTCCTACGTGAACATAAATAAAGGTCTCAAATACAGGTCAATGCCAATTAATAGTTCTTTTGTATGAATAACAATGTTTGCAACAATGGCAATTTTATCAACTGCTCCAAACCGCTCTCTCAGCGCCAATACAATCAAAGCCAAACTTTCTATGAGGTTTTTGCTTTGAGAACTCTTTCCTGTCCAGCTGATGTAGGGAAGGCGATACTGCATATGTTGTAGGCCATGCCAAGGAGTTGGGATTAGAGCAGAAGAGGTGTTTTGGAAGGGTAGCTGAAACCTGGAATCACTAAACCTTTCCACCATTTTTGAAAACCGATGTCATTTGCACACCACTATAGCTATCTAGTGCATGCATCTCTGTGAACGTTACTTCTCAGGATTGTGTGATTGTGTCTGTAATTTATCAGGCATGCAAAATACCATCTGCATTTTGTTTCATTACATGAGACTTCGTTGACTGAGACTAATTGTCTACAAACTTAATTTTTTCATTTTAATTGCCCTCTAATCTGAGATTAGATATCAAATTTCTAAATACAAATCTCTCAATTACACGTGTGTAAACAATAGGTATCTTCAACTTCTTAAAGAGCAGTGAAAAAATAACAAAGGAACTGGAACGCTATTCACTTATAGACTAAAAGAAGGGAGATTTATATTAGATGTTAGGGGGAAATTTTTTACTCAAAGGGTGGTGAAGCAGTGGTACAGGCTGCCCAGAAAGCTGTGGGTGCCCCACCCCTGGAAGTGTTCAAGGCCAGGTTCAGGCTGCCTTAAGCAGCCTGAGCTGGTGGGGGAAAGCCAGCCCACATCAGGGGTGGGAACTGGATGAACTTTAAGGTCCCTTCCAACCCAACCATTCTATGATACAATTCTGCTTGAAAACATTAGTCTTGTTGGCTGTCTGCCCAACAAATTCACCATCTCTCCAAATTCTTACTCCACTGTGCTCTCCTTTGATTAATTAGTTAAAATTTAAAAAGATCATGCAAGGCTATACTCTGATATCACATGACAGACTTCCTTGTCATCATGATAAGCAGTTTTATTCTAACTTTCATTTTACTAATTAAAAATATGCTATATTATGGTGCAATTTACTGAAACTTGAAACATTGTTCTGTTTGCCTGAAATCACACTGAAAAAAAATTCTAAAAAAATCCAGTATTTGATTGGAAGACTTGAAGCACTCAAATACTTCCATTTGAACAGTAACTTGTTTCAACATTTGTTTATTTTACTAACCAAATGAATCAGAATTAAAAATATCTCAAATGACGCCATCTATTTCTCTTCTGTCAATTTTTTTTTTTTTTTTTTTTACATCTCAATCAAAATTTTTATTTTGGTAAAGAATTTTTTTGAACACACAACATAAATCCTAATAACCTACAGGAGGTCAATATTTAAACATCTCATCCCACACTGAGTCCTAAGGTAAGTTAAATGGAAAAGTAGATCTTCGTCATAAACTTTCCATAACTTCCTCTTTGCTTACGCTAGTGGATTTGTGTTGAAGTTGTTTTTTCATAAAGAACATTTGAGCAATAACAAGAACTTTGGAATTCAGCCTTGCTTGGAGACAAATTTTCTAAGAGTGACCAACATCTGTGTTTTCTCACAGACATCAAATAGCAGATGGTAGCTACATCTAAAACGTAAATGATAAAAAATGCAGACTTACTAAAATCATCATTTCAAAATAGATCAAAGCATCAGTTTTCAAGCCCAACTCCTCTTTGTTAATCTAGCTTCTGATTTTGTTTTTGTTTTGTTTTGTTTTCATGTTTAAAACTTGTTTTCAGCAATAAAGAATCAAAATTCAATTCTATGCATTTCCTGGAAATTGTGAAATGAATAGGATCTAATATAGGTGCTAAATCATCTTAGAACAGGTGTTTAGAAATCTTAGAATCTTAGTCTGAGTTCCTGACTTCTCCACAGAGTGCCTGTGTGAACAGCAACATCCTCCTATCCACAACAAGCATCAGCCACTTGGACCTAACTCTTTGTAAGACTGTTAAATTGTTTTCCAGGTGGAGTCAATAATCCACTTGAAAAAACAGGCAGTAAAAAGTTCATAACTATTCCTGCCCATATCTACACAGAGCAATGCCAGACACCGGCTGGGAGAAGAGTGGCCAGAGAGCAGCTCAGCAAGAAGGACCTAGGGTGCTCGGACAGCAGCTCAGCATAGACCAGCCCTGTGCCCTTGCAGGCAAGAGGACAAACTACATTGTGGGACGCGTTATGCACAGCAAAGCGGTCAGAAGTGGTGCTTATCAGCTATATTTAGTATTAGTGTAGCCTCACGTTGCATATGGTGTTGCAGACCTAGGCTCCACACACTAAAAAATGTTGTTAAAGTGCTTGGAATCTTCCAGTGGAGGGCAGAAAAGCTGTGACAGTGAAAGGCATGCCCTGTCAGGAGAGGCTGAGGGCACTGGGCTGTCCAGCTGGAGAAGAGGAAGCTGGGCGGCAACCTCCTTGCTCCCTGAGGATGGGAAGCAGGAGATGCCTGGCTCTGCTCCTGGAACTGATAGCAAGGGTGGGAGTGGCAGAGCTGCTAGGATCACATTGGACATTAGGAAAAATATCTGTACTGTGAACGTGGTCAAACACACTTCCTGGGGAGCACCCCGTGCCTGTCAGTTGTCCAGAGGCATTCAGACAATGTTTTAAGTTGAGGTTACCCCTGAAGTTGTCAGGTAGTTGGAATTTGTGGTTTTTGAAGGTCCCTTCCAACTGAACTACTCTGTTAAAATGTCAGCTGAGTTTTCATACAGTTGCTGTTCCTCTGGCTTTACTTCGTTACCTATATAAGTGGTATATGCCAGTACTAGACAATATGTGATAGCTCTAGAAAGTAAGTGACTTGGAAGTCAGCCTATTGCATTCTACAGTCTGCAGAGCTTGATGTAAAGACTTTGCCTGTTGATATCTGTGTATCTGTATCTGTTGATACTGTTGGTATCTGCTTTCATAGATGAGTAAAGGCTTTAGGCAGGCAGTCTGTCTGTAGGCAGCTATGGAGGGCACCTACAGGTTCTTGGGTACCCCAAGTCCTCAGAAAAAAAGGAGCATCTGCTGCTTCACAAGAAAATGAGCTACAAAGGTGCGAGGAAGAGCTACTGAAGGGATTTCAGTATCTTTATCTATTTGAATTAATCTTTTAACTTCAAAAGCAATTGAGGGTGTTCAGCACCATTCAGAAATGGGCTGACCCAAAAGAAAACTGACCCAAACATTTTAAAGTACCTAAAATTCTATTCTTTCCACTTGCTTTCTCTTGGTACAACAGGAAGTGAAAGAAGGAAAATATCCGTAACAGTTGCACTTCTGACAAGTCCCTCCTAAGTAAGTGAACTCAAGCTAGAGAACAAAACACCATCACATTTCATATCTTAAGGTAGTTTATTTTCTGTTGTACATATTTACTGTATAGCAAAATAACACATCTATTTATTTACATTAAATTAATGTCATATTCTTTACATGTCATAATATTTTCATATTTCACTTGTCAGTACCAAATACTCAAAATTCTCTTCCACTGTCCCCATAACCTCTGTATGGTTTCACTTAACGGTTGTGTGAACAGCATGCTCCTGAACAAGACGATACTGGTAACATTGGAGATAACAGTAAGACTTGCAGTCTTTCATCACAGGCATCTTGGACAATATATGGAACAAACAGTAGAAATATTTATAACACAGAATTATAACGTGTGTTTAAATGAAACCTATAGAAATTGTTTATAAATTATCTGCAGCCATCTAAATCCTGTAGTTTATATAGCACATTCACAGACTTCAAGAGTGTTTCTTTAGTTTAGTTACTTGAAGATTGAATACAGATTTCCTAGCTTGAATGGAACTTTATTACTCCGTTCTTGTTCTTATGAATAAAGGTCACACATTAGCATTTTGAGTTTACTGATGTCTCAAAACTCTATTTCTTCAGAGTTTTAAGAACTTAAATTAAAATTCCAACTTTAAGTGCTTTGAAAGGAACAGGAAGGCTCTGTTGATTTCAGAAGCTTTTAGATCGTCACCAATTTGGTTTTAGATCTAGGTTCTTAGAAGTAAAAGTTCTTACTGGCTATTAAGGACACCGAGCTTCTTCTGTGTAAAATTCTTTCATTTTTAAATTGTCTAATTTATGAATTGTTATTTTGTATTTTAATCAGTTAGACTAACTCCGTAAATAAAATTTAGGTAGTATTAGAGCTGGAAAATGCCATATTTGGAGTATTCCTAGCATTCAAGACCCCTATTAGCTTCAGTCATCTTTCTAAGGCAGTGAGGTGATGCTCTTCTCTATATTTCTCTTCTTGTGAGATTGTGCCCATTGCACTGAGCATTTGTTTCCATTAAATAATATTGCAAATATTAATTATGCTTTGTTAATATTCAAAAACAAGTTTCTGATCTGTAGGATAGGTATAAATGTGAATAACATTAACTCTAAAGAGCTCTCTATAGTGAATGCTTTACCTCATTGCAGGAGTAAAGATTCTCCTGCTATAAAGAAAACTCCACTGCCTTCATGAGGTTGGCTGCAGCCTTCCTTTCTTTACTGCACTGCCTTTTCTGAACTATGCATACATACAGGCAGAAGTAAATCAGCACTCAGCAGTCACAGCATTTGCAAGAAGGCCCAGTTTGTAAATCAAGTAAATAAAATTACTTCAAAACAGAGAAAAGAAAAGCCCAGAAGATGACCATGTTTGAAAATCCATTTCAATAATAGTCTTGATGGATTCATTTAAACTTACATAAATACAACTCCATCCTATCAAAAAATGTACTCTATCCAAGGGTACAGGTACCATAAGTAGTTGCATGGCCCTTACAATAGCTTCCAGACTGGGACTCTATTCAGAGAACTCTATGTGCATTCTGACACTTATATTCCACAGAAATACAATCATTTCAAATGAT